CAGATAGCGTTGAGCGACAGTCGGGTTGTTGGTGCGCAGCAGGGCCGACAAGAAGCGGCCGACCTCCAACTTGGTGGCGCCGAACTTGCCGTTCTGTCCGGTCCATGACCGTGCGTGAGCTCCTGAACACCACAATGTGGGCTCAACCGGGAAACGGCAAAAGCAAGCGAACCTTGACGGGGGTTTTGAGCAGCTCCACTAGCTTGTCGATCTGGGCGGCCAGGCCAGTCAAAAGGGGAGACTCTGTGCGATACATAAGCGCACGCAGCGCACGTCAGGCACCGCGCCGACAACTGCGATGAATAATGGCGCGAGCAGTACCGCCAAGGCACACATCGGTGTTGTCGGCGTTTTTGCTCTCAACGCCCACGAGCCACAGGGCTCGCTTCTTCTTATTCGAGTGGTCCTTCTTGCTAGTCTCGTCTTTGTCAGGAGCCGAGCTCACGCACCAGTCGAGCAGCGATCGCACAAACTCAAGCCCGCTCACCAGTCGCTTGCGCTATTGTGTATGGTAAGAAAAATAAATCAATTAATAGTACATGTAACAGTAATAGCAGAAGCGACAACAAAAGAGGAGACGTACGTGGCTTTCGTTGACCTCCGCAACGTGGGCAAAGGTGAAGGCGATCACCTGCTGCACCGACGCCTCGGAAAGGGCGGATTGAGCCAGCGGAGAACTGGCGTCCGATCTCTCCACGATCTGAGTCAAGACGGAGAGCGCCGTGGCCGACACCTCCACGTCGCCCTTGTCGTTGTTGAGCTGCGCAAGCAGCTGCGGAACCAAATTCTCGCTCTCCAGCCACTGCGCACGACAGTGCCGTGTGTGTGTGTGTGTGTGTGCGTGTGTTAGACGAAACTGGTGACTGAGGAGTCGTGGGGCTTCATTCTCCCTTACCTCAATCACGCCGAGTGGATCGACTGACTCGTCCTCCATGAAGAGCCACATCACTTCGGCCAGGCGCGGAGACGAACCGGCAGCGTGTACGGCCAGTCGCTTCACCAGCCCCGGGTGGCTCTTGAGCGCCTCGAATGTCTGTTTGTGCGCGTTCGTTGGTGATGGTGAGGCGACAGATCTGCGCACAGATGGGAGGGGCGCGACAGTTATTACCTCCTTTCGGCGGTGCTTGATGAGGGAGGAGACGATCT